GATGCAATGTTGCACTTTGCTGTTAAATTATATAACTAAATTTCCAGAAAGCTACATGAAGTATCAGTCAAAGGTAGCTTAAATTATAATTAAAAAATAAAAATTGAATGCTCCAATTAAAGCGAAAACTTGTCCAATGAGTCCTGTGCTATGCAAACATGCCCCTTGTGCTTTACAAATCAATTAATTGTGCAACTAAAGATTTTAAAGATAAAAATACATTTTAAAGATATAGGCCTAATTGTATTATAATATATTGATTGTTTTAATACATATTTTAAATCAAAACGTTTAAATTTTTTTACAAATTACAAATCAAAATTTCAATGAATAGTAAATAATGAATAATAAATAATATATAAATAATAATAATAATAATAATAATAATAATAATAATAATAAATACAGTAATAATGATAATATTATAACTCACTAATATTATAAATAGAAGTGTGGAGAATGCTGCTATTTTACTTACAAGGCCTAGCTTCTTGATTATGAATGATTAGGCATATGTTGTACAAAAATTTCTCTCAATGCAATAATTCTTCAACTTTGATTTATTGTTTAGATTACAATTTACAAATAGGCCTAGGCCTAGGCCTAGGCTATTTGTTGGTTTGAAGATGACAAGCATATTTTATTTCATAAATTAAAGTTTACGAAGTCATAGGCCTAGATACAATTAGAAAACTTTCATGTTATTAATATTTTTATCATTCATTTACAGGCGAAATTAACATATTATTTACAGGCGAAATTAACATATTATCGCCGACGATTCACAAACCTACTCTGTCTGCACAACCAACCTTTCTCCTCAGCAGTGTTGACTCTTTGGAGCCTCATGCTATAATATAGAGTAGGCTGCTAGCAACTAGGTATAGGCCTAGATGATAGACTTTCAAAACAAAAAGATAATCGTAACGAAAAAAAAATAAAGAATCATCCTCACTTTATCTTCTCGAAATAATACAGCACGTCACTGATTAATTAATTCCAAAGTTAGGTAAATATGATTATACAGTACCGTATATGATATTTACAATGATATGTTCACATCTAGATGTGTATAAGAGACAGGAATAATGAAAGAAAGTTTATGCAGCATCAGTGTTTTATAAAATGTTATAAAGCTATACGCGCGCACGCTGTTTGGTGACAACATGGCGCCCATGCGCCAAGTTGGCCAAACTCTCTCTATCTACGGCTCTGCCATATTGATATAAACAGCCCCCTCTATAGGTTCTCGTTTCTTGTTTCTTATAAGCGCAGGATCGGGTGTAGCCTAGATGCAGTAGGAAATTAGCGGGAAAAAAGTAAAGGAAAATTAATTTTTGGTTTTTCTGAATCAGTATATCATATAATGTCTCAGAAAAAAAATCCCCATTCTTAGAGCTTGGGCAATTTTTTTATAGCGCTTTAAAATTTTGACATAAAATATCCTATTTTGGGCTAATTAAGATTGGGGTAAGGGAAATAAATGTATGTTTTTAGTCACTTTTACATATGCTATTAGTCTGGTTGTAAAAATGCTGAAATGAACTTTAGCGGGAAAAAAGTAAAGGAAAATTAATTTTTGGTTTTTCTGAATCAGCATACCCTATAGTGTCTCAGAAAAAAAATCCCCATGCCTAGGGCTTGGGCAATTTTTTCTACAGCACTTTTGACCACAATTTTGACCTAAAATACCCTATTTTAAACTATTTAAGATGGGGGTAGGGGAAATAAATTTATGTTTTTGGTCACTTTTACATATACTGTGGATATGAAATGTAACAACATCTTGGCTAAATGGTTACTCATTACTCTCATTTAAAAATTTGATCGGAATGATGACGTCATCATGATAAATTCCAAGATGGCATCCAT